CTCATCAACTGTGTGCCAGTCGTCTGCCGACGTGCATCTGTCTACGTACGCGTAGACCGGTGAACTGCCCCCCACTCGACTCACATGATTACTGTTACGGACTCGAACCTGGGACCTTTGGATCCGCAATCCCAAGCCAATCAGCTGTCATCTCCACTTCGCTGCCTGCCACGTAGCCTCGATTGTCTTCTTCGTTGCCGTCTGATCAGCTTAACCTTTCCACCTCCGCGAAACTTTCATCTTCAACCAACACGTACATGTCATTGGAGGGGCAGCAACCCTCCAACTCCTCCGCACGCCCACAAAGCCAGGGAACACTACGGAATAGCATCCAAAAAAATGTTGACCAAGGAAAGGAGACACCGCGGCGTCCCTATGGCAAAGTAACCCGGGACTACCGCTGCAAGACCATGGTCACTTCGTTGAAAACCTGGGATCTGGATTCTTCGGTGTAGCCGAGCCGCTGGAAAAAGCGGATGCTGGCCTCATTGTCTTGCTTGATTTTGGCGACGACACGTTTAGTGTTGAACTTTTTAAACGCCTCCTGGATAGCCAGCTGGTACGCGAGTTTACCCAGCCCTTTTCTACGGTAAGCCTTCTCGGCTATCATCATACTGATTTCCCCTTCCGTATGATCGACGTGTCCGTTCTCATCCCTTTTATAAAACAATCCAATGTCGCCCACTGGCTGGCCATCCGCCCAAATCGTATAATCGAACTTGTCTTCGTCCTCCAACCATTTCCTCTGCATGTCTTTTATCTCGTCCTCCGTCATGCCCTCATCTGTCCCCAGCTCGTACTTCAACCCAGGGTCATCCATCCATATTTTATAGGCAGCCAACTCTTTGCCCAGGTCCGCCGTCCCAAACGACTTGAGCTGCAGCCCTTCCGCAGAGACGTCGTCCATGCGCATCCTGCGATTCGAGGGCGGGTCAAAAGAAATTCCAGCCCGGCACCAGCCGGCCACAAAATCCCCGCGGAGTGCAAGCAATCCACCCTCCTCTATTTTGCTTCCCCGCGTATCGATTTTTGCAGTACAGACGAACACAAGGTTGAAAACAAAACGAATTCCTCAGTGCCGGAGTCATTTCTCCGTGTTGAAATAACTCTTTCTCCAAGCCCTCCTTCAAGCACACGCGTGAGCGCGCGTCTATATTCGGTCGTAGTTGAGTTTAGTTTCTAGTTTCTTCATGTCCCCAACTTTTCTGGCTGCCTTATAGAGGTCCTCTTCTACTATATAGTCTCGTTCCGTTCGGATGGCGAACATACCTGCTTCGGTGCAAACATTTCTAAGGTCTGCGCCGTTGAATCCGTCTGTTAGTTTGACGAGACCTTCAAAATCGATTTCTCCCTTTTTGGTGATGGGTTTAGCATGTATTTTGAGTATATCAATTCGAGCGGCTTCGTTTGGCAGCGGGATTTCCAGTTTTCGGTCCAATCGGCCGGGTCGGAGCAGAGCGGGGTCTAGAACGTCGGGTCTGTTGGTGGCCATGATGATCTTGACTTCGCCGAGGTCGTCGAACCCGTCTAGTTGGTTAAGCAGTTCCATGAGGGTGCGTTGAATCTCGCGGTCAGCCGAGGTGCCTTCATTGAAGCGGCGGCCGCCAATGGCATCGATTTCGTCCATGAAAATGATGCAGGGTGAGTTAGCTTTGGCGTAAGAGAACATATCGCGGATGATGCGGGCGCTCTCGCCAATGTACTTGTCGACAATGGCCGACGCAACTACCTTCATGAAACTGCAGTTCATCTGCGACGCCATGGCCTTAGCCAACAATGTCTTGCCCGTGCCCGGAGGACCGTACAACAACACACCCTTCGGAGTCTTTATACCCACTTTCTTGAATAACTCAGGGTTAGTCAAAGGCAGCTCCACCACCTCTCTTAACTGACGGATCTGCTCCGCCAAACCACCTACCTGGTTGTAACTTACATTACCCGGGTCTTCCTTTAACATATTGTACACCGTCGGGTCTACCTCCCGAGGTAACTTCCGCATTATCGTCAACGTCGTCATATCCAATGCCACACGCGACCCCGGCTTCAACTCAGCCATATTCAAATTCGGCTTACACCCAACCACATACCGAGGCCCAGAAGAAGCCTTCACGATAACTACCAAATGTCACCATAAGGGGGGGGGGGGGGGGTAACCGGACGCGACCGGAAGCGGCGGGGAAGAACTACCGGGAGCGGGAGCGGTACGGGGGGCGGGAATGAGCGGGACGCATACACTTATCACCGTCTAAGCTTTGAAGGACTTCGCCGATCATTTGTCCTACAGACTGCAATGCCTTAAAATCCTCTTCGGCCTTTTCGAAGACCGCTTCGAACGACTTGAGTTTCTCACGCACTGAGTTAACATAATGTTCGCACACGTGTGCAAGAGCCAGAGTCGGTGTGCCCACTTACACGTTTTCACTCTCGACTCCACATCTCGGTGCTCCTTCACTACATTGATGTACAAACGCAACGCGTTCTTCCGTTCCATCACTTGGGAAAAACAAGAACAAAAAAGGATCCTACCCCGGCAGTGACCGCGGCCACCAACAAACCCACATTGCGACTCGCCCCACTGCGTGAGCCAACCCAAGAGGTCCTGGTGAACGCTGGACATGCGTTCTGTTTCGTTCTGTCGTTTTGTTTAGAAGCTATTTTTTTACCTTGTAGTGCAACTGTGCTCGGTGGATCTATTTCTATAGTTTCTCTCTTGCTTCGGTTCCAGTGCATTAAGCATTAACCACGGCGTGAAGACGAAGGTAGCTGTCGTCGACTACTGAGCATACCCTTCATTGGGTAGATGATCCTTACTTGTCGACGTGGCTTACTGAGCGCTGGCATGATGCCTTGACCCCCGCCTGATGGCCACAGTCTCTGTTGTCTTCTGACAGAGAGGGTGGCGACCACACCCTCATGCACGCCCTCGATAGGGGGTGGGGTCTGAGTTGTTAAAACCTCGATTTTTCGGCGGGCGTCGAGCACCCTGGTAGTATCTTGTATGTCGTGCATCTCGTTTGGTATTGCGCCCGCCATTCTCTTTGGCGTCTTGCTGGGGCATGCTGTAATCCGCAGCCGGGTGAGCGAAGAAGACGGCCCTCTGCATTTTAGTGCGGCTCCAGCTGGACACAACTCGGAATGAGGATGGGACGAGGAGGGGGTGGCTCGG